ATTAATAACCATTTTGTTCGTTTTGGCTATTTGCAGAATTTTTTCCCAAATCTTCTCTTCAACCAAATCAGTTTGAAAAATCATCAACTCAGACTTTTCTAGGTATAAAAAGAAATTCTAGAATCACAATTAATTCTTCTTTTCTATATCTTCAACAGGATTTTCGTTGACTTCATCAAAAATTCTTCTCGCATTCGCTGTCGAACTTCTGAGTCGTTTGCTTCTGGAGTGAAACTTATTCTGTTTTTTTTTTATTATTATCGTTATTCTAAATTCTTCTTTGGCTCTTGTTTATCTAATTTTGTTTCTTCTTAAACTGATTTCCTGTTCTGCAATTTCTTCTACATTTTCTTGACAATCCGTCTGTTTTGAACTATTTTCGTGATTACCAGAATGAACTTTCCCTTTTTTACAGAACATTATAAATTTCCTTCAGAACTTCATCCATGATCTTTCTTCAAATTCAATTTGTATTGAAGAAGGAATTCACCAGTTTACCCTTTCTAAAACAAATTTCTTCTAGATTCTTCCAAAGTTACGTTAATTAATTTTAAGTTTAATTTTGGTCTTGCAGCGGAATAGACATTCTTCATTCTGTCTTCTTTATCTTACGTATTTACCATTTATTCTTTCATTTTCATCTGATTGCTTCCGACATCTCTTTCATTCAAACTTCTATTTTTTCGTCCCTCTGCTTCTTCCTTTTGTCTCTTTGTTTCTTTAAATCTTCTAGTTGTTCGTCGATTCATATTTGCTTTTTTCCTTCATCATTAATAACCATTTTCTTCGTTTTGGCTATTTGCAGAATTTTTCCCCCAATCTTCTCTTGAACAAAATTCGTTCGAAAAATCTATAACTCAGTCTTTTCCAGGTCTAAAAAGAAACTTGTAGAATCCCAATTAATTCTTCTTTCTTGTATCTTCAATAGGGTGTTCGTTGACTTCATCAAAAATTCTTCTCGCATTCGCTGCCGAACTTCTTACTCGTTTGCTACTGGAGTCAAACTTATTCTATTATTTTTTATTATTATCGTTATTCTAAATTCTTCTTTGGCTGTTGCTTGTCTAATTTGGTTCCTTCTTCAACTTAATTCTTGTTCTATAATTTCTTCTATATTTTCTTGACAAGCCGTCTGTTTTGGCCTATTTCCGTGATCACCAGAATGAATTTTCCCTTCTTTACAGAACAATCTAAATTTTCTTCAAAAGTGCGTCCATGATCTTCTATTTTCAACTTCAATCTATATTGAAGACAGAATTCACCGATTTTCCCCTTCTAAAACAAATTTAATCTAGATTCTTCCGAAAATTGCGTTAATTAATTTTCTCTTTAATGTTACTCTTGCAACGGAGTAGAAATTCTTCGTTGTGTCTTCTTTATCTTGCGTATTTACCGTTTATTCATTCATCTGATAATTTCCAACATCTGTTTCATTCAAACTTCTATTTTTTCGTCCCTCTGCGTCTTCGTTTTGTCTCTTTATTCCTTTAAACCCTCTATTTGTCCTTTGATTCTTCTTTGCGTTTTTTCCTTCATCATTAAAAACCACTTTGTTAGTTTTGGCTAGTTGCAGAATTTTTTCCCCAATCTTCTCTTGAACAAAATCAGTTCGAATAATCTATAACTCAGTCTTTTCCAGGTATAAAAGAAACTTCTTGAATCCCAATTAATTCTTCTTTTCTATATCTTCAACCTCTGACTCGTTTGCTACTGGAGTAAAACTTATTCTGTTACTTTTTATTACAAATCCTGCAAATGCTTTTTCTTTATTCTGATTTTTTTTATTAGAATCAGTGTAGCAAATTATTCTATCCAAAATTCTACTTTTAAAATTATTGCACCTTCTACGCCAAGTCTAAATCTTATTATTATTATTTCTATTTTCAACCAAAATAGAAGATATATATATGGAAAATGACTTATGGAAATGGAAATCTAGAGAGAAATGTATTCAAATAATTTTCGAAAATTGTTGAAAAATGGTCGTTAATGTTGAAAGTGCCGAAATCAGTCTTATTTTATCAAATACTAGCCCCGCCCACCCACCCTCTATTTTTTCATAAAGTACGTGATTTGCTAAAATCAGTCTTATCTTAGCAAATACTTGCCCCCCCCCCTTCTCTTCTCTTAGTATACAATGATTCATTTCATTTCTATTGAATAAAATCAATCACTGAAAAGGAGGTAGGGTGGGTGGGCGGGGCTAATTATGTTCTTCTGTCGAGTGGGAGTGGAAACTAAAAGTAGAATGTAGAATGTGAAAAAAGTAAAAAAAATCGCTAACCGTATTTTTTTTTTTGTTATACTATTTGCTATAAAATTTATTTCTTATTTCATACACCTGACCTAACTTGACCTAACGTGACCTGACCTGTTCTGACTTCTTCATTTTCTCAAATTAATAAATTTTAATGTTAATATAAAAACCACAAAGGACTTTCTTAAAATGAATGTATTTTGTGAAACAAAAATTAATATTCCAGTAATTTTCGAAAATAGATGAAAAATGGTCGAAAATGTCAAAAGTGACAAAAATAGTCTCATCTTATCAAATACTAGCCCCGCCCACCCACCCTCTATTTTCTCAGAAGTATGTAACTTGCCAAAATCAGTCGTATCTTACCAAGTACTTGCCCCATCCCCCTTTCTCATTCTAACCACTAATTTTATTTCTGTTCAGTATAAGATGATTCATTTCATTTCTATCGAATAAAATCAATCACTGAAAAGGAGGTAGGGTGGGTGGGCGGGGCTAATTATGTTCTTCTGTCGAGTGGGAGTGGAAACTAAGAGTAGAATATAGGATGTGAAAAAAGTAAAAAAAATCGCTGATCGTATTTTTTTTTTTTTTTTGTTATACTATTTGCTGTAAAATTTATTTCTTATTTCATACACCTGACCTAACTTAACATAATTGTATTTTGTGAAGCAAAAATGCCAAAATTAGTCTTATCTTATCAAATACTAACCCCGCCCACCCACCCTCTATTTTTCAAAAAGCACGTGATTTGCCAAAATCAGTCTTACATTAACAAAGCCCCCCCTCCTTCTCATTCTAACGACTAATTTTATTTCTGTTCAGTACAAGATGATTCATTTCATTTCTATCGAATAAAATCAATCACTGAAAAGGAGGTAGGGTGGGTGGGCGGGGCTAATTATGTTCTTCTGTCGAGTGGGAGTGGAAACTAAGAGTAGAATGTAGAATGTGAAAAAAGTAAAAAAATCGCTAACCGTATTTTTTTTTGTCATACTATTGACTATAAAATTTATTTCTTATTTCATACACCTGACCTAACTTGACCTAACGTGACCTTACCTGTTCTGACTTCTTTATTTTCTCAAATAAATAAATTTTAACCATTTCTGTGAATGTAAATATAAAAACCACAAAGGACTTTCTTAAAATAATTGTATTTTGTGAAACAAAAATTAATATTCCAGTAATTTTCGAAAATAGATAGAAAATGGTCGAAAATGTCAAAAGTGACAAAAATAGTCTCATCTTATCAAATACTAGCCCCGCCCACCCACTCTCTATTTTCTCAGTAGTATGTAACTTGCCAAAATCAGTCGTATCTTATCAAGTACTTGCCCCATCCCCCTTTCTCATCCTAACGACTAATTTTATTTTTGTCCAGTATATGAAGATTCATTTCATTCAGATCGAATAAAATCAATCACTGAAAAGGAGGTAGGGTGGGTGGGCGGGGCTAATTATGTTCTTCTGTCGAGTGGGAGTGGACTCTAATAATAGAATCTAGGATGTGAAAAAAGTAGAAAAAAGCGCTAACCGTATTTTTTTTTTGTTATACCTACTATTTGCTATAAAATTTCTTATTTCATACACCTGACCTAACTAAACAAAATTGTATTTTGTGAAACAAAAATGCCAAAATTAGTCTTATCTTCTCAAATACTAGCCCCGCCCACCCACCCTCTATTTTTTCCGAAAGTACGTGATTTGCCAAAATCAGTCTTATCTTAGCAAATATTTGCCCCCCCCCCCCTCTCATTCTAAGGACTAATTTTATTCCTGTTTAGTATAAGATAATTCACTTCATTTCTATCGAATAAAATCAATCACTGAAAAGGAGGTAGGGTGGGTGGGCGGGGCTAATTATGTTCTTCTGTTGAGTGGGAGTGGACTCTAATAATAGAATCTAGGATGTGAAAAAAGTAGAAAAAAGCGCTAACCGTATTTTTTTTTTGTTATACCTACTATTTGCTATAAAATTTATTTCTTATTTCATACACCTGACCTAACTTGACCTAACGTGACCTGATTTGTTCTGACTTCTCTATTGTCTCAAATAAATAAATTTTAAACATTTCTGTGAATACATAAAAACCACAAAGGACTTTCTTAAAATAATTGTATTTTGTGAAAGAAGAATTAATAAAAATGGTCTTTTTTATCTACAAACATTTTATACCCAATGATTTTAACGGAACTTCAAAAACTGCTATATTTCAATTAGCGATTTTAGAGAATCGGTAGGAATTTCCGAGGAAATGAAGCTAAAAATGACTTCTGGATATCGAAATTTGGAAGAAAATGTATTCCAATAATTTTCGAAAATAGATGAAAAATGGTCGAAAATGTCAAAAGTGCCAAAATCAGTCTTACCTTACTAGCCCCGCCCACCCACCCTTTATTTTCTTATAGAGTAGATCATTTGCTAAAATCAGTCTTATCTTGGCAAGTACTACATAATGTGTACATCTTCCCGTTGTTGAACGTTCTAGAATTTTCTTGAAATTTGCACTGAAATAGAAATTCTTCTGTCCTTTCCCAAAATAAATCGCGTCTCGAATTTCGTGAAATACCCTGTAGCTCATTTCAAACCTCAAGAACGTACTGTGTTACGGTTATTTTTTTAACAAGTAAATATTCACAACGCACGGCAACCAACATTACGCCACCGCACAAAAGTGGCAGTCTACCTCTAATTCCACCTTCGCTCCGCGTTTATAATTTACGACCGCAGGGGGCGCCCCTGCAATAAAATAAAATGACAGCCAAGTGACAGCTCCTGTCAAACACCCCAATTTATTATTGTTGTTATTGCAGTTAATTCCCATCAATTGCACGCGCGGAGCCTTCGCGAGCCACCAAAACACCACTTCCACCTCCGCGCCCGCGAAATTGGCTCCAACGTGCCACTTACTTTTATAGGTTAGAAATGGGCTGTGATTAAATTAGCCACATTTAAGATGTGTGCGGCCGCCAATCTCACCGCATTCACATACTGGCCGGCAGTCGAGACCCACATACCAGAAAATTCCATCCAGACTTACCCCACAACGAATTTCGTACCCGACAGCCCCAAAAGCAAGTTCTTGCGACAGTCCATGTTTTTCTTCAACAACATCACGAAACAGGAGTTCGTGCCGATCGAGAAGAGCGACACTAAGCAGATTCTCACGCCCCTGAACGCGGTGCAGTTCACTAGCGAGCCTGAAATCAAGCAGGAAGACGGGAGGGTTAAGAAGAGTTTGGGGGAGAAGGCGAGACCGTACTTTTGTGATGAGTGCGGGAAGTCGTTTCTTTTGAAGCACCATTTGACCACGCACGCACGCACGCACACGGGGATCAGGCCACACGTGTGCACGCACTGCGGGAAGAGTTTCACCCATAAACATTGTTTGAATACCCATATGTTGCTTCATTCGAGTGACAGGCCGTATCAGTGTTTGGAATGCAAGAAGAGTTTCACGTTGAAGCACCACCTAATCACGCACAGTAAAGTAAGGGACACGGGTTGAACTGGCGCGGTTTTAAGGTTTGGTTTTAGGTGCACAGTCGGGACAAGCCATTTGTGTGTACAGAGTGTGGGCAGGCTTTTCCAGTGAAGCGCCATTTGACCACCCATAGTAAGTTTCACGCCGGGGAAAGACCGTACGTGTGCGAGGACTGCGGAGAATCCTTCGCACAAAAGGAGCACCTGGTAATAAACGTTTTAAACTTGTCTAGTAACTTTAACTGTCAACAGCATGGGGATTAGCCAATCACGGACGAGCATGTCAGCGCGAAATTTAAAATTCTAGTGACAAAAAATTAAAATTGACGTAGTACGCTACAAATGAACACAAAAATCACCGTTCGACAAAGAAATTACACATTTTTTCGCGATGTTGTCACTTTTGGTATTTGTTGGCGCTGCTAAATGCTAAATCCAAGGTGGATTGACTTTCATAGGTCGCCTCGTCAAGCCACGATTTTAGACGTATGTGACGTCACGTAGCAGCCAAACCCGCCAAATTCAAATCGTAATCAATGAATAATGATTGATTTTCTCTAGGTGATGCACTCCCGCTTCCACGGCTCACTCAACTCCTTCGCCTGCAGCGACTGCGGCGCCACCTTCACCCGCAAGTTCGAACTGGTCAACCACGGCCGCCTCCACGGTAAACAACCCCACAGCTGCGTCGTCTGCAACAAAGAGTTTTTCCAAAAACGCACCCTCCTCGCCCATATGCGCTGCCACAACGGGACCTACCCCTTCACATGTTCGAGCTGCGGCGAGTCCTTCCAGTCCAAGCAAGACCTCACCTCGCATATCAAATCAAACCACTCGAATCAATCGCAAATCAAGCAAATCTGCAGCGACTGCGGCTGCGTTTTTAACACCGCGGAAGCGCTAGCCCTCCACGTGAAACTACACTCCGGGGATTCCTCCCTCGTGAACGACCTCTGCGTGTTGACGTCCGGGCTGAACAACACGATCTCCAACGTACAAAGTTTGAACAAATCAAAGAGTTACGTGTGTCAGCACTGTTCCAAAGGGTACAGTGCTAAACATGGGTTGCAGCAGCATAGTAAGAAACACCCGGATGGTAGCTGTGCCTTAAGATCTCACGTCTGTAATGTGTGTAGTAAGGGGTTTTTCCAAAAGAACCATTTGTTGTTGCACCAGAGGCAGCACATGGATCCGAGTGAGAGGAAGGGGGATTATCGGGGACAGAGTGACGTCAAGTCGCGCGAAAAATCGTAACTTTTCTGTGATTGGTTGAGAACAAGTGCCATGGGGCTGTTGGTAATCACGCTGTGTTTTATGCTTTAATTTCTGATGTAATAATGACTTAGAAAATCGTGTTTAGTGCTAGCGTTTACCTTATTTATGTAAAGTAGACTTAGGAAGAGCGATTTAAACATTCAATTGTTACGGTCTTATCTATAAAATACACCGTCGGAGGAAGATTTGTCTTCTTTTAGCCACCGGAATTTCGTCTGGTTTTATTTTTAGATTTCCAAAGCAAACGGAGACAGTTATTGATGAAGGTGTACTTAGACTGTTTAACACTTCGCTTCCCGAACATATCCTATTATTCACGCTCCATAGGCACTACATTAATATCTTTCTTATTTCGAAACTCAAACTAAGACAAAAAATATTCACCGAATTACGTCATCCTCGCTTCTTACCTCAAACCCCATTGTATAACGTCATTTACGTAAATCCATCATCATTTCGTCAAGTCGCTTTTCTAATTAAACCCAAAGAAAAATTTACGTAACCGCCAAAAAATCGCATTTCACATCGAATCCATTCGAGCCGTCCTTAAATATAGACACAGTTCTGTTACACTTTGTGTGTTGGCACCCGTTTTTAATTAAACGCTGCTTAATTACGTGTTTCGCAACTTTACGACTTCCTCAAGATTTTCGAACAATGCGATTGTGCAGAATTCGTCGTTTTCGATTCTTCATATTCAAAACGGGACTGTCGACTTTAATTCATGGCTGTTTAATGACGAACTTCCGTAATCAATGAATCGTGTTTATGAAACTTGTCACGTTTGGGATGTCAATGGAATAGGTGATGAGGCAGTCCGGTCTTGGAGAGTAAAAAGAAATTCGTGTCTAGCCAAAGTGGTCTTAAAAAAATTTGACTGAAGTGGTTATGATTACGAAATAAGAATAATAATAGCCTTTATATGGTTGCAAAACCCCCTTAAGTCAGAATAAACAAGAAACGATAAGATTTCACTTAACTCCGTCTAAATAAATATAAAAAAAAACAATTGCGATGCATCTTATCTGGTAAAAATTAGAACACTGCAGATAAATACACACGGATTAAGAAAAAAGGTTCTCGGTACCAGGGTCTTGCGTAAAAGGAGATAATAGTTATCAAGAAGTTAATATTTGGACTTGCTGAACAAGGAAATACCGACTGTTTTTGTTGTTAGAATTCACACATATCTTAGAGGTTGGATAATGCCTCTGGCCATTCAGCGACAAGTGACGTCACTCAGCAGCCGCGCGCGCCAAATTCAAACAACAACATTTTTCACTATTTTCGTGACTTTTATAAGGTTCAAAATAGTTTGTGCAATAACACATGTGTCATTATTTGTTCGTTGCTCTAATGTAAGCAGCACTCATTAATAATTCACGTTATTACTCACAACCGTAAAGATATGTTGTAATATAAATTATTCAGAGATAAAACTAAATGTTTGTTGGCATGAAATGACTGAATAGTAAATTGCGACCATATTTTATTAACGAGTCAGCTGTGGGGAATTGAAAAACGAAAACAGCCAAAGCTTGTCAATATTTGTAAAAATAATGAACCCTGGATTTATCTGATGGACGTTAAAAATTTAAATGAATCAGGAATCGATTCAAGTTTTTTTTGGCAATTTTTTAGGTTAGTATGTCGCTATTACTGGAATAAATTGTGAATTCGTAGTAAATATACAAATAGATACATTTTTATGTTGGCACACCAGATAGAGATATTTTATACATTCAAATTTCCCTCCAAATGGCTCTCTTACGTCATTAAAAATGAGCGTTGAAGGTGACCGTATGCACCAACCTGAGCCTACTTGTCGTTATAAAAACTTCTTCTCTGCGGCTCCCATTTCAAATTTATAATGTACTCAGTGCAGAATTTTGAAAGTACGGCGGTTAACATTTATACAGTATGGCGTTGGCGGCTATATGATGGGGGTTCTAGCTTAGTTTGACCTCATTTGATCTGAGCCAAAACCCCCACGAATTTTTGTGGACCCCAGGTTAGGTCAAGTTATGACATCTCAGGTCAGGACAAGCCGAGTCAAGATCAGGTCAGGTCTTTCTTTGGTAGTAGTTATATGATGGGGGTTTTAGCTCACTTTGACCGCATTTGACTTGAACCAGGGCCCTCAACACTTAAAGAGAGAAAGATCTGATCTGACTTAACCTCGCTTGACCTAGAGATATCTGTGAATAAAAAATTGTTGTTTTAACTGCCTTTTTCAAATATTTGATGTGACTGATGTTAATTTTTGTTAGAATTAGAAACAGCAGAAATTTTAGAACAGGATACAAATTCCATGCTGACAAGTGTTGCATAAAATATAAATGTAAAACGGTGGCAAAAACATATCAAGAAAATTATTTCTTCTAATCTGTATTCAAAATTTTGAGGTTATGAAGCGTTCGTTGTCGTCCAAATAATTCAAAATTAAATCCGAAGGCTATCTTAAATTTTAAAATTTCTCAGATTTTTAAGGAAATTATTAAATAATATAAATGTATATACTTACTATTTTGCAGCAAAAAGTATACTTTAACTGCTTATTTAATTAAAATTATAAAATGTTTATAACAACAAAAAAAGTTTAACAACTAAAAAAACGCATCCATTTTATAAAAAACGGATTTTTAGCATCTTAGCATAACTTGACCTGACCTAATCTTGACCCGAATTAACCTGACCTGACCTGACATGTTATGACTTGATCAAACCTGACTGCCAGGGTAGAGTTTACAAAAATTGATGGGGGTTTTGGTTCAGGTCAAATGAGGTCAAACTGAGCTAGAATCCCCATCATATTACTAATGCCGTTCAAAATTTATAAAATGTAGAATTTGCAAAATACAGCGTCTCTCGTTCATGAAGTACCACGTGAACAGAAATGACTGAGTCTATTGGCAACCCTGGATTTTTAGTTGAAATTGGTATCATGATGTATTGAAGTTTGTGATAATATCCGATTGTACGTTGACGCAAACTAAAAGTCTCACATGTCACGATTGACATACAGTGGTGGCCAAAATAAAGTAGGACACCTCTTTTAGAATTTTTGCAATAAATTTAGTTGTGTAAACTAGACTCAATTAAACAAGTATTCATTGAAAATGACATTTAAACGTCAATAAAAATTTCGAAGTTACACTGGGAAAAAAAGTGACCTACTTTATTCCGGCTGCTACTATATCTATTACACAATTACTTCCGTTATACCAACATAAACGCAAGAAAAGTTCACATTTTTAGTCAATATTTACAGAGTACATACAAATTGAAAACAATCTGAATATCTGGGATCAAAAATAAAAGCGAATTCATGGACCACAGTTATATTTTATAAAATTTAAATAACCTCGGTCTGACAATGAGTAAAAAATTCATCACGATTGAGATCGACACAGATGGTCTTTTTTAATCAACACATTTATTTTTCTTTGTATAACACGATTACTTAAGAACATAATCGCATGGTAATTTCTCGTAGAAAAAAAAAGTATTTTGCTATTAAGCTCCGCGCCTCGACTTACGACTAATAAAAAAAAAATCATCAGAATTGAGATAGGGTGGGTGGGCGGGGCTTATATTTTGTTTTTTTTTTCTTAATATACATAGCCATCTTTTCACAACAAGAAACTTAAAATATAGTTAAAATGGTACATTGTTGCAAGGAAATATGGATTTTAAAAATATGGGGTGGAGCCTAATTGATAAATCGATATTTATGTATACAAATTTTCCATTTTAAATATGTTTTATGTTTCATGTTGCGAAAAGAGGTCTACACATATTAAAACAAAAAGGCAAAATGTAAAACCCGCCCACCCACCCTATCGCCATTGTGGTCGATTTTTTTTATTCGCCGTGAACCAAGAGGGCGGAGCTTAACTGAAACATGTTTTTGAGTATCGTGTTATTCAAAGAATACTATGCATATTAAGAAAAAAATCCAAAATATAAACCCCGCCCACCCACCCCATCTCAGTTGTGGCGATTTTTTTTATTGTTTGAAACTTAAAACACGTTCAAAATGGAAAATTTTTGTAAGGAAATATGGATTTTGCAATTAGGCTCCGCCCCTAAGTCTGCCAACGAATGAAAACTTGATTGCTATTTAAATCAGGGCAGGTGTGGGTGGGGCTTAATCTTTGGCTTTATTTTTTTCTTAATATACAGTGTTCTTTGAACAACACGATACTTGAAAACATGTTTTTAATTTCTCTTAGGGAAATAAGGATTTTGCTGTTAAGCTCCGCCCCCTTGGCTCACGAAGCATTAAAAAATCATCACAATTGAGATAAGGCGGGTGGGCGGGGCTTATATTTTGTCTTTTTTCTTTATATACATAGTCGTCTTTTCAGAACAAGAAACTTAAAATATGTTTAAAATGGTAAATTCTTGTAGACAAATATGGATCTTGCATTTAAGCCCCGCCCCTTGATCTGACAACGAATTCAATTCATTAGAAGTAGGGCCTAATCTTTGGTTTTATTTTTTTCTTAATATACATAGTCTTCTTTGAACAACACGATACTCAAAAACATGTTTTTAATTTCTAGTAGAAAAATAAAGATTTTGCAGTTAAGCTCCGCCTCCTTGACTCACGACGAATAAAAAAAATCATCACAATCGCGATAGGGTGGGTGGGCGGGGCTTATATTTTGCCGTGTTTTTTTTAATATAAGTAGTCGTCTTTTCAGAACAAGAAACTTGAAACATGTTTAAAATGGTAAATTCTTGTGGACAAATATGGATCTTGCAATTATGCCCTGCCCCTTGATCTGACAACGAATGAAAAAATCATCACAAGTGAGAATTGAGATCGGGACGGCTATGGGTGGGGCCTAATGTTTGGCTTTATTTTTTTCTTAATATACGTAGCATTCTTTGGACAACACGATACTCAAAAACATGTTTTTAATTTCTCGTAGAGAAATAAGGATTTTGCAGTTAAGCTCCGCCCTCTTGGCTCACGACGAATAAAAAAAAAATCATCACAATTGAGACAGGGCGGGTGGGCGGGGCTTATATTTTGCCTTTTTTCTTTATATACGTAGTCGTCTTTTCAGAACAAGAAACTTAAAACATGTTTAAAATGGTAAATTGTTGTAGACAAATATGGATCTTGCAATTAAGCCCTGCCCCTTGATCTGACAACGAATTCAATTCATCAGAAGTGGGGCCTAATCTTTGGTTTTATTTGTTTCTTAATATAGATGGTATTCTTTGAATAACACGATACCCAAAACAAGTTTTTAATTTCTCGTAGAGAAATAAGGATATTGTAGTTAAGCTCCGCCCCCTTGACTCACGACGAATGAAAAAAAATCATCACAATTGAGATAGGGCGGGTGGGCGGGGTTTATATTTTACCGTTTTTCTTAATATACGTAGTCGTCTTTTCAGAACAAGAAACTTAAACCATGTTTAAAATGGTAAATTGTTGTAGATAAATATGGATCTTGCAATTAAGCCCCACCCCTTGGTTTGACAATGAATGAAAAAATCATCACAAGTGAAAATTGAGATGGGGGCAGGTATGGGTGGGGCCTAATCTTTGGCTTCATTTTTTTCTTAATATACATAGTATTCTTTGAACAACACGATACTCAAAAAATGTTTTTAATTTCTCGTAGAGAAATAAGGATTTTGCAGTTGAGCTCCGCCCCATTGGCTCACGACGAATAAAAAAAAATCATCACAATTGAGACAGGGTGGGTGGGCGGGGCTTATATTTTTCCGTTATTTTAAATATAAGTAGTCGTCTTTTCAGAACAAGAAGCTTAAGACATCTTTAAAATGATAAATGCTTGTAGATAAATATGGATCTTGCAATTAAGCCCCACCCCTTGGTTTGACAACGAATGAAAAAATCATCACAAGTGAAAATTGAGATCGGGGCGGGTATGGGTAGGGCCTAATCTTTGGCTTTATTTTTTTGTAAACATACAGAGTGTTCTTCGAATAACACGATACTCAAAAACATGTTTTAAATTTTTCGTAAAGAAATAAAGATTTTGCAGTTAAGCTCTGCCCCCTTGGCTCACGACGAATAAAAAAAATCATCACAATTGAGATAGGGTGGGTGGGCGGGGCTTCATTTTACCTTATTTTCTTAGTATGTGTAGACTTATTTAGACAACAAGAAACTTAAACATGTCTAAAATGGTAAATTTTTGTAGTTAAAAAGCAACTTAAATCCTCCACTTTTCTTCTACGAGTTTATAAATGACAATTTTCAGCTTTAAAAGCAGCGGCAACGGTAGCTTCAACGTCAACAACAAGTTTATAAATTCCACTTTATCTGTTTAATAGTAATAACTAATAACGGTCGGCACAGACAGACGACCGATAGACAGACAGACGGAAACGGGAGACCTATTTTTCGTACTCTTGGGTCGATGAAACGTCGAGGAAACTTGAAAGTAGTCATTCATCTTATGGACCTCATTACAAAACTTGTCGCCATATTGTCAAAATGACATTTATGGTACTACTACTCGGGTAAAAATTGACAACTGTGCGTGGCTGTCAATAATTCAGAATTGTCAACACAAAAATTTCGTTTTATACCAAAATTATTAAACAAGACAAGTTCAAATATTGAACAACGAACTATCTACACCGTTGGCTTTTAATTTTCTTCCAGAGACAGTGGAGAGTGATTAAAACAAAGTAAATTTTGGATTTATAAATTTATTATTTGTCAAACAGCAGATATAATTAGTAATCGCATACCAACCGTTTATCAAATTCCCTATTAACTCAACCTTGAGTATCGATACGAACTTTAATTTCACATCACATTTTGTAATTAGTAATTCGTACTTCTGTCGTATATAGTTTTCAATAAATTCTAATGTAATTAATATTAGTTTTAGTCTAGAAATTAGTCACTTATGGTTATATATCCAGTCTTGCAACTTTGTAACCGGTGAGTTTCAAACGTCTTCAATGGAAACTTTGTAAGTTGATATTTTGCGTTGTTTTATTATGACAAGACAGGTGATTTCGTCTGAAACATAAAATTCTTCTCTATTTTACGTTGTCCTTAAAAATCTTAAATAGACTTTAGTGTCTGGCGAGTCTACTAATGCATCGAGTAAACAAAGTGTAAATAGTGTGTCAATTCGAACAAAATCTATTGTTAACAAAGAATAGGTACCTACTTCATTAATACACTTAACGCTTTATTGTCGACCACAACGTCCCAGTATCCAGCCTACATGGCAACAAGTAATTGTGCGTAGCCCCGACCCTCGTGGGCCCGCTCCGCCCCTGCCTCTCCCGCAATAGCGGCGCTCGACAATCTATCATTGTGTAAATTAGTGGTTCATGTTAATAATCACAAACAAACACACCGCGTAAAAATAAATTCCCGTTTGTTGTTTCGGCGCGATTTGTTTATATTGCGCATTGCGACCGCAGCGCCCCCTTGTTATTAAACGGCCTCCTCGCGAAGCAGGCATCTAGTGTGCGCCTGTCAGAGTGGCCAGCAGTGACAGATAACAGTTCGAAAACAGCGTTGTATTGAGTGCATTTTTGCGAAAAACTCGAAGTGATTCGCGTCCAGCACAGTGTCAGCGCGTAATTCACAGCATTTCGCACCCGCATGATTTCAAAAGTAAGTCCGCTTCCACCGCCTTTGACAGCTTTCGATGATTTTCTTTGTTTGTGTGCAGCGCCAGGCTGCCATTTTACCCCATGCAGTTTATTTATTTTGACGGGGGGCGGCGAACTCGCGCCCATCCAGCCTTTATCTCCCCCGTGCGCCCACCTCGGCACGCGTCCGCGGCGTTGGCGCGGCGGCGGCCGCCCCCGGGCCGCCGGGGGCGGCGAGCGGGGCCCGGACGGGGCCGTTTTGCCGTTTCGAAGGGGGCGATTGCGGGGCATTGATTGATCTCATCGGCCAGCTCGGCCAAGTCTTTGTTATGGCAGTCAGCTGTTTGGGTTTGGGGCTAGCTACGCGCTACGTCGCGAGTGCTCTCTGTCTAGCGCGGCGACAGTGCAGGGCACCACTGGCCCTTTTGCGCGGTCTCGAGGACGCGGCGCAGTTGTTTAGCGCTGTGGGTTTGGCGATTAGGCGCTTGGAAATATTTCGTTTATTAAATAATGAAAGTCTGAATTGATTTAATTGTGGTGTTGTTTACTATTACGGCGGGTCTTAATACGGAGCTAACTGATTCGCCTGGCCGGAGAAAACACTGACAGGCTTTGTTATGACAGTCACGAGGTAAATTAAGTTGTGTGGGGAACAATGACCACGTTGTAGTATGAAAACACATGTCGTGGCTCGTTTATGTCACTTCATTATTTTGTGTATAATGTTCAACTTCGGGAGTTCGAGTCCGAAGAAATTCGCTTTATTTGCTGTGTTGGGGGAAACAATTCGTGCATTTTTACGTCCTGAGTGAATTTTTCCCGTTTTCGTCTGTCTGTCTGTCTTTCTGTCTGTGTGTCCGTCGAATTTCGGACACTAAAAACCATTAATCGAACGAGTAATCAAATTTTGAAACGTCAACTAAATGTCTGTTTTTACATGGCTGCCTACAATATTACAGACAAAAATACCCAAATATTTTAATTTTTTTTTAAAGAAATATCCTTTAATTTAAAGCGTGACCCGTATAAAAATCCACAAAAGATGACCCAAATTACATCCAGTAAAAATTTCAACTTTGAATCTTTACTCAAACATAAGTTAACACGTGGTATAAAATTTAACATGGGAATCCCTATGGCCACTTTTAAAAAAGACGCACTGTATATATAAAAAAAATTGTAAAACATTTTGCAACTTGACTTTGAAACTGCACAGCCGAATGTTCTGAAATCGTGCAACGTTTTAAGGTTAAGCTATCGATGACGTCATCACAGAATTTTGTAATGAAAAAACTCAGTTGAAACAAACGTCTCGGACGCCTTTTTACATTTACTTTAACATTTCGTACATAATTTTTCGTTTTAATCATTTTCTTTCGTTTTTCAATTTTTCCTTTCTTCAATTTTTCAGTTTTCCAATTTTTCTATGTTACTGTTTTTCATTTTTCCCAGTTTCTCAGTTCTTGATTTTTTTTAAATTTTCATTTTCTCGATTTTATATAATGATTAATAATTTTTCGTTTTTTCATTTCTTGTATTATTTCAATCTTTCTTTCGATTTTATAGTTTTTCGTTCCCCAATTTTTCAATCTTTCATTGTGCAATTCCCAGATTTTCCAATTTTTTCAATTTTTAAGTTTCTCAATGTTTTCAGTTTCTTGTTATGGGAAAACAACAATATAATTAAGAAAAAAAAATGCAAAACATAAGCCCCACCCACCCACCCTGTCTCAATTGTGACGGTTTTCTTTATTCGTCGTTAGTCAAGGAGGGCGGAGCTTAGTTGCATAATCTGCATTTTTCTACAAAAACTAACATGTGAAACATATTCTTCAGTGATGGTATTGCTCAAAGAAAATTACATGTAAAGAAATAAGTATTTTGCTGTTAACCTCCGCCCTCTTGGTTTACGGCGAATAAAAAAATCATAACAATTGAGACAGGGCGGGTGGGCGGGCTTAGGTTTTGTCGTTTGGTTTTAATATGTGTAGACTTCTTTTCAGAACATGAAACTTAAAACATGTTTAAAATAGAAAATTTGTATAAGGAAATATCAATTGCAATTAGGCTCCGCCCCATAATTGCAAAATCCATATTTTCGTGCAAAAATGTACCATCAACCATGTTTTAAATTTCTTTAAAGAAGGCTATGTATATTAAGAAGAACAAGGTAAAATATAAGCCCCACCCACCCACCCTGTCTCAATTGTGACGCTTTTCTTTATTCGTCCTTAGTCAAGGAGGGCGGAGCTTAGTTGCAAAATCCGTATTTTCCTATAAAAATTACCATGTGAAACATGTTCTTCAGTGACTGCTCAAAGAAAACTACATGTAAAGAAATAAGTATTTTGCAGTTAAGCTCCGCCCTCTTGGTTTACGGCGAATAAAAAAATCATAACAAAAGAGATAGGGTGGGTGGGCGGGCTTAGGTTTTGCCTTTTGGTTTTAATATACATATGTAGACTTCTTTTTGCAACATGAAACTTAAAACATGTTTAAAATAGAAAATTTGTATAAGGAAATCTCGATTTTTCAATTAAGCTCCGCCTCATAATTGCAATATTCATATTTCCTTGCAAATATGTACCATCAATCATGTTTTAAATTTCTTGTTGTGAAAAGCAGTGTGTGTATTAAGAAAAAAAGGTAAATTATATGCCCCACCCACCCACCCAATCTCAATTGTGACGATTTTTCTTTATTCGTCGTTAGTCAAGAGGGGCGGAGCTTAGGTGCAAAATCCGTATTTCTACAAACATTACCATGTGAAACATGTTCTTCAGTGGTGGTGTTGCTCAAAGAAAACTATAAATAAAGAAATAAGTATTTTGCAGTTAAGCTCCGCCCTCTTGGTTTACGGCGAATAAAAAAAAATCATAACAATTGTGATAGGGGAGGTAGGCGGGCTTAGGTTTTGCCCTTTTTGTTTTAATACGTGTAGACCTCTTTTCACAACACGAAACTTAAAACATGTTTAAAATAGAAAATTTATATAAAGAAATATCGATTTTGCAATTAGGCTCCGCCCCATAACTGAAAAATCCATATTTTCTTGCAAAGGCTATGTATATTAAGAAAGAAAAACTAAAATATCTTTCAATTTTTGAATGTTTCGTTTCTTCAATTTTTCAAGTGCTTGATTTCCTGTTTTTAGATTTTTCAAAATTTTCATTCTATACTGTTTCGTTTTTTCATTTTTCGATGTTGCGTTTTTTCAATTTTTTTGATTCGGAAAGTTGAAAAATAGAAAAATATAAAATCAGAAAAATACAACATCGAAAAAAATTAAAATTTGAAAAACTGAAAAAAAAACGAAAAATTGTAAAATCGAAAAATTCAAGAAATTGAAAATTGAAGAACTGAAGAAACGAAAAATTCAGTGAAATTGAAGAAGTGAAAATTTTTTTAAATTGTAATTATTGTTATTCATATATTTAAAATGAAAACTAGAAAATTTGCAAATCAAAAATGGAAGTTAAAAAAATTAAAAAATCGAGAAAATGGACCATCCAAAGTTGAATAAACGTAACATTAAAAAATCTAAAATTGAAAAATCCAAAAATTTAAATTTTTCACATTGAAAAAAAAAGTTATAAAAATACAATGTTGAAAACTCGAGAAATTGAAAAAACAAAGAAAATAAAAAACCGAAAGTCGAAAAATCGAAAAACTGAAAAATTTTAAAATGAAAAATTGGAATCCAGAGAAATTGTAAATCGAAAAATTGCAAAACCCACGGATTGAGAAATTTTAAAGTTGGAAAATTGATAAATTGAAAAATTCAAACTTAAAAACTCGAAAAATTTCGAAAGACTTAAAAATGGGAAAAAATTCAAAAATCAAGAAGCTGAAAAATCTAAAATTGGAAAATCTAGTAATTGAAAACCGAAAAATTGAAAAATTAAAAACTGAAAGCTAGTAAAATTGCAAATCGAAAATTTACAAAATCCAAAAATTGAAGAAACAAAATGAACAATCAAAAAGTCGAAAAATCAAAAATCGGTAATCGAGAACTTGAGAAATAACCAAAAATCGAGAAATCGAAATTGAAGAATTGAAATACCGGAAAATCGAAACCTCAAAAGATTGAAAAATGGAGAACTAGAGAAGTCGAAACATTGAAAAATTGAGAAATTGAAAAATCGAGAAATTGAAGCATAAAAAGAATTCGAGGAATCGAAAAATTGAAAAATTAAAAAATGAAAACTTGTGAAATTGCAAATCCAAAATTTACAAAATATAAAAATTGAAACATCCAAAAGTTGGAAATCGAAAAGCTGAAAAATTAAAAAATGAAAGCTCGAAGAGTAAAATTGAAAAAACAAAAAACACACAAATGAAAAATTGAAAAATTGCAAATCGACAAAGTGGAAAAACGAAAAATTGAGCAAATTGAAATTTCAAAAACCATAAATTATAAAATCGGAGCATCGAAAAACTGAAAAATTAAAATCTGAAGGAACAAAAAATTGAAAAATTGAACATTTTTCAATTTTTCCATTTTTCAGTGTTTCTGAGAAATTTTGTTTTTTCAAGTTTAGTTTCTCAATTTTTCAATTTCTCGACTTAAAAGTTTCCAATTTTTTTCTCTTCAATTTTTCGATTTAAAATTTTTCGTTTTTGCAATTTTTCAATGTTAAAATTTTTCTATTTCGGTTTCTGACGTGTGGATTTATGTTTTTCATTTTCCCGAATTTTTAATTCTCATGTTATCGATTTTACATCACAATTTTTCGGTTTTTCCGTTCAAATTTTTCAAATTTCAATGTGTGATTTTTTAATTCTTCGATTTTGCAATTTTTCAATTTTGAAATTTTGCATTTTTTGAATTTTTCACTTATCCAATTTTCCGATTTGTTTAATCCTCAATATTTCGATTTTACAATATTTTTTTAATTTCGTTTCTTCGATTTTGCACTTTTTTTTTCAATTTTTAATCTTTCCATTTTTGAATTTTTCGTTTCTTTAATTTTTCAACTTCTTGATTTCCAATTTTTAGATTTTTCAAAGTTTTCATCTATA